AGGAAAGAGAATTCCACAATCAAGAGTTCCATTAATGTATCTAAGGATTCTCTTGACCACTTTCAAGTGAGACACCTTCGGTCTCTCCATGAATCTACTAGAAATACTGACACTAAATGCCAAGTTTGGTCGTGTATTGCACAAATACCGCAATGGTCTAATCGATCTTCTACATTGCATTGGATCCACATCTTTCTCATCCTCACTCTTGGACAGCTGCAACCTTGTCTCACATTGTGTATTGCAATACTTCATTTCACACCTCTTCAAGATCTCAAGAGCATATCTTCTTTGATGCATGAGCAGTCCCATTTTTGACTTATAGAACTCATGCCAAGGAAATACATCATAATGGCAAGACCCGTCATCTCAAACTCACCCATAATTTCACTCTTGAACTTAGAGATACTCTTTTCACAGCTTCTGGTAACCAATAAATCATCCACATATGAGCAAAGAATGATCACACCGTCATTTGCATCTGATCTCACATAAACTCCGTGTTCGGGCACACACCGCTTGAAACCAATATCAACAAGAAATTCATTAATGCATTTGTTCCAAGCTCTTGGATCTTGTTTCAAACCATACAAAGCTTTATTTAATTTGTAGAACTTCATCTCTTGATTCTTTACTACAAATCCAGGGGGCTGCTCAACATAAACCACTTCATCAAGTGAACCGTTCAAAAATGCAGATTTGACGTCCATTTGATATATCGCCTAATTGTTGTAAAAATCCCTTTGCTATCAATCGAGCCTTATGTTTGATCACCTCGTCTTTGGGATTTTCCTTTACTTTATAGACCCATCGCACACCAATTAGCTTCTTTGCAAGCGGTAAATCGACCAACTCCGGAGTACCATTTTTTTAATAGATTTCAGCTCCTCCTTCATTGCATAAATCCATTTTGGATCGCTTAGAGCCTCTTCCGTGTTCACCGGTTCGGATTCAATCATAAGCGCAAAGTGAATGAAATCACAATCATCGTTGATTTAGTTATCCCAGAATACTTCACATTCTTGGAGTCTGTGAGGCAAAACTCTTTGCCTTATTGGTCGTCTAACATTTCCTCTGTTTTCGGCTTCAGCATGTTGTTGTTCTACACCTCCATGATTTTGAAAATTCTGATTTTCCAGCCCGTAGCCAGTTACAGGATTCTTGTAACTGGTTATTCCTTCTGCAAAACTAGTTCCAGCAGCTTCAAAATCCAAAAATACACATGGTAACCAGTTACAGCTTTTAGCGTAACCGGTTACGGGGCCTGCATCAACAATTTTTCTGCTGCTGTCAAGCTTTTGTAGCTCGTCGACCACAATATCTCGGCTAATCATGATCCTCTTGTTTGCAACATCAAACAACTTATAACCTCCAGTAGGATGATAACCAACGAGTAACATCATCTCACTCTTGTCGTTCAACTTCTTTCGAAGTTGACCCAGAACGTGTCGAAATGCTATCGAACCGAAAACTTTCAAATGAATTAAGCTTGGTTTAAATCCAGACCACACCTCTTCTGGAGTCACCTTATCAAGCATCTTTGTAGGGCACCTATTCAACAAATAGGCGGCTGTAGAAACGACTTCACCCCATAGTTCCTTCGGTAAGTCTTTAGCCTTTATCATGCTTCAAACCATGTTCATCATCGAACGATTTTTCCTCTCGGCAATACCATTTTGTTGTGGCGTATAGGATTGCACAATCTCACGCATTATCCCCTCTTCATCACAATACTCCCAAACTCATTCGAGGTATACTCACATCCACCACCCGTTTTGATAATTTTGAGCTTGTGACCACATTGCCGCTCAACCATGGACTTGAATCATTTGAAAAAATCAAATACCTCATTCTTCCTCTTGATAAGGTATATCCATAGTTTTCTACTAAAATTATCGTTAAATGTGAAAAATACCTATTGCCACCATGAGAATCGACTTGCATTGGACCGCACACGTCGGAATACACCACCTCAAGGTGATGTTTAGTCTTATGACTCGCATCCTTGTTGAAATTACTCTTGTGCATATTTCCTTACATACACTCTTCACATATCTCAGCTGGAATGCTGATTCCTTGCAACCCGGTTACCATACCATCCATTTGTAACGCGTCAAGATCACGAAAGTTGAGATGTCCAAGACAGTAGTGCTATAACCACTCTTCTCGACTTTCTGTTGTAGCTAAACACCCATGTTACATCACTTTCAACTCCAATTTGAAAGTACTATTAGCGGCCATAAGGGTCTTAGGGATCAAAACACCGTTTTCATCCACAACGTGCAAGATCTTGTCTTCCAAGCGAATTTTGTAACCCCTCTTAAGCAATTGGCCAATACTCAAGAGATTACACTTAATTCCCGGAATATAAAAAATCATTGGTCATAGAATGTCCATCATTCTTCTTTTTTATCAAAATATTACTGACACCTTCGGCCGCAAGAGTGGTATCATCCGTGAATTTTACTCTACTTTTCGCAGCTTGATTGATTTGTACAAACCAATCCTTTCTACCTGTCATATGAGTTGAACAACTGGAATCCAAGTACCATTCATTGTTGCCTTAGACTCCATCTCGAACCGTAATCATTAGGTTTTGCTCCAAACGCGTTTCTGAAGCATTTTTCGAACTATTGCAGTTGTTGTCCCGCAATTTACAGCTGCTACTGCTGCTGGCCAGCACCTCTTTAATGCCATAATTCTCCTGCATGATCATAACTAAGAGCGTATTTTCATCATCTACCTCTTGCCTCGCAACCTTAGCTTCATCGCTTTGATTCTCCGTTTGTCTCGCACGATAATCTCTTGCAAAATGACTAAGTCTATGACAATTGTAACACTTCGATTTACTCTTGTCAAACTTCTTGAAGTTGTTTTCTTGACCACTATCTTTGGAGCTTCTCTCACCCTTTTACACCATCGAAACCTTCGAATTTTGTGGATCATTTCCACCAAAATTTTGAGAATTTTGCTTCCCCTTCGAAGTCCATTTTTCTTTTGATCTTCTATTCTTCTCGTTAAGTCGTGCTTGCAAAGCAATCTCCGTTTTACCTTTATCGCTTCCTCTCTCATCCATTATTTGCTCATGAGCCTCAAGAGAGCTTTGAAGCTCATCTTTGCTCAACGTGGCAAGGTCCTTTGATAGCCATTACAATATTGTCGAATCTTGACGTTAAAGAACGCAAAATCTTTGACACAACCTTCTACTCCAAACAGTTTTTCTGCAAGACTTGATTTTATTCACCAAACGCGTAATACTCACCACATAATCGTTGATCGTCTCCTTCTCTTCCATTTGCGTTAACTCGAATTGCCTCTTGTGAGTTTGTAACCTCGCCACCTTAGCTTTAACAGCCCATGCATAAGCTTTCTCCAAGATCTCCCAAGCTTGCTTCGCCGACTCGCAATCGCCAATTTTCTCAAAGTTGTCAACATCGACACAAGAATGAATCAAGAGGAGTGTCTTGTAATCTTTCTTCTTTTCTTCCTTGAATGCAGTCTTTTGAGCATCTGTAGCTTCATCCCCAAGTGGTGTAACTCCATTTTTAATGATCTCAAGAACTTCTTGATACCTAAACAGAACTTTGATTTGCTTTGACCACTTGGAGAAAATGAAGTTAAGAAATTGGAAGCTTACACGTTCTTATGTACAAGAAGTATAAAAATAATTGGAGATAACAAAACAGCTTAACAAAATAAGCTGAAACTAACAAAAACTAAAAACACCAAAATATGTCTTCGTAACCGGTTACGCAAAAAACCGTAACCGACTACGAACCCGATATCAGCAATCCTTCAATCTTTTTTAACTCCGTAATCGATTATGCAAAAGACTGTAACTGATTACCACAACTGAAATGTCAAAAATTGGTTTTCAACATTTTCATGTGCTGATTTTTATCAATGTATCGGTCAGTGCTAATAAAATATTGAACTGAAATGTATGTATTGGGAGAAAAATGATTCAGACCAAGATATTCTTTATTACTAAGGATAATGATGGCAAAATTGCCTATTCAATCTTTTTATAAAGCAACTGCTTTGTTATTTTAAGAAAAGTTTGAAGATGGAAAATGAACTTGGCATTCCAATCTTTTAGGGCATTTACGTTATAAAAATAAAAGGCTTTTGCACTTTAAAATCACAGAAGTGGCATAATGCATGCAACGAACAAACGACTGAAATCAGTGATTCCATATTATTGACAGGACACTTTCATTAAGAATCCATTATCATAGGGAGTGGATTTACTTCAAGATGAGTTTTACATATATTAGCTACGAAACTTTTGGTGAAAAATACTAATTACATTTTTAAAAATTGTTTTCCTATACTACATTTTGTGGAATGTTAGTTATCATACATGAAAGATTATCTTTTAGAGCATGCATGTCATTGTCAAGTGATAGTGTCCTCAGCCCTCTAAATAAAATGTGTGCATATTCTCTAATGTATCATTAAAAATAATTTTAGTAACACTTCAATAAAATGGGTTAACATTTCACTACAAATGCTCAAATTCCTATAAATATATTGTTGAGTATATTAATATTTTTGTCTTGTCAAATGGTCATAATTTTACCTCTTAAAAGTGAGCAATACTGCATCATTTAAAAAATAAAAAATTATTTCAGCATAACTACCAACTAAAATGACATTAATAATGATTAATTCGTATAAACTATCATTAAATTGTGGATTAATCATTATCTATTTGATCACAAAAACTATTCAATTATTATCATAACCATTTCCAAAGTTGTTATTTGTCTTCTACACCTATCAAAATTAAAGCCATGTTAAAAACTACATAGGTTCCACAATGGAAAGTATAACCTGATATAGAAATGTGTATGTCTTTACTAGGTCTAATGATACAAGAATTTACATAGTTTGCTGTAAGTGCATCAAGATACAATGTGCACAACAAATAGGCGACAATATTATCCACAAACTACAATAATCCTCTATTAAGTGATCAGAAAGGTAGAAAGGAAAATTTAAGAATCACGGTAAATTGATTGTGGCATCCACTTGAGATGCAAATTCAAATAGCCAGATTTTGCACCATCTAGCTCAAAACGTTCTTTGTATTCTCCTTCCAATATCACTCGGGTAAGCGTCAATATCACTCTGCCCATATAGTCCTACATCAATTAAGGATAGAGCTTAACAAGTGAACAAAATTACAAACTTTAAGAATCCATCATGACTAAACATGTAGTTTATTTGCACTTATGGCATGTGTTTAAATTAAGACTTCTTTAATAATGTTGAGTGCACAGTTATTTTGAAACGGAGAATGTAAGTAAAAAGGCAATCTTTGTAACCAATTGAACGTGCAAAATTTATTACCTTCCCAAAGGTGTCATGGTCATAAACTTCAACAAGTAGCATATCATGTAATCCATCCTCTACAACAAAGTCAAATGTTTGATTCCAAACAGGATTCAAGCTGTTGTTCACAACCTGAGAAAATAACAAACCTTCACAGTCAAGTTATTTATTATGTTGATAAATAATGCCACAAAGTTCAAAAGGGATGTCCGTTATACATATCTTTCCCCAACGCCGAATAAAGAAAAGATATCTTAACATGTATAATAAAGTTCATCACCAATAACAGTTGAAAGCTGATCTCTCATTCTCAAAATGGTTAAACAGTCAATGCTATTTGTGGTTCTTGGTCCATCAAAATCTTACCCTGGTTTTGTTCTTTGTTTCTGCTTTCTTCAATGTAAGAACAACAAAAGGATCAGATTTCCCCATGAAATCAACGGCAGGCAAGTCTTCGGCTGATATCACAGTAATAGAAAGAACTCCTCTAATAATAACCTCCTTTTTCTTTTGTGCAGCTTCATTTTCACTTCCATTAGACTCCATTCCATTAGTTGAACTTTTAATAACCTTTTCCAAGGATGTCATTGAGTAGTTGGGAGAAAATGGGTTGGTAAAGCTGTTCTCTGTGCCATAAGGACAATACAAAAGCTCCAAATGTACCTAAACAGAAAGAACAATAGTTACATAGCATGTCTAACTTTACTTCACTATTAGGTGAAATTACTTTTTATTTCAAAAAAGTTAATCAAAGCACATTTAACAAAGAAACAAATATATTTATTATGTCAGACAAACATTACACAACAGAAAGTAGTTTTTACAATTTCTTACAAACTAAAGAATTCAAATCCATATTGACTAGTAATTTGGAAGTGAGAAATATGAAGCTCCTGAACAGCACCACAACAGTCTTACAACTTAGAAGTTTAAAAAATGTTTCAAGAGCTAATTTTTTTTATAAATTAATATTGTAATACCAATATAGATAAAACTAGTCACTTCTTAGATACATTCTTTTGAATACTTTTTGTAAGTAATTATGTATTTATGCTTAGTTTTTATAATATATATGCAATTATATTATTTTAGCGTTTGATATTTATTGAATTGAGTCCTATATGTTAGCATGTGGTATGTCCGTGTTCTATCCTCCCCCCCATGACCCATGTGATGTCTAAGCTCCATAGCTCCTGAATCTAATGGTAAACATCCTCTAAAATTAAAATTAAAATTAACTTCAACAATCTACAAGATGTTAAAAAATAAAGGAATATAAGTTACAAATTTCCAGCAAATAAAAGGTGCCTAAGGCTTGTGAACTGATTTGAACTTGCATGTGGACACCTGTGCTTACAACTCACAAATGTGCATGAAAGTACGAGATTTGCACAGGATGAATTTTTAATTGCATAACTACATGCTTTTAACATGGAGCAACTAAGATAATTATAACATTGCTTGTACAAACCAATCTATGCATGGGAAACCATGGCAATTTTTCTTATATTCTGTCCGAAAATGTTTATAGACCATGTGCGTAGTGACAGTCCACGAAGGATAGAACCTGTGGTTTAAGGTCCTCACTCCCCAGAATGCAACCTAAGGTTGTTTTCTAACACTCAGAAACCTTCTACATTGTGAAAAATATTTATAACACCAATGAGTGTTCTATATTTTCAAAAAATATTTGAAGTGAAAAAATATAAATATATTTATATCCAAATTTCAATAGATATATGATGTACAGTATATTATATTATAATCTTATTTACTCACTATAAATAAATTTACTTCAAATCCTCTTCATATATTTTTCAGTAGTTAATATATTCATATTTTTTATGTGTGTGGCACGATTATTAAAGTTTAAAATATGTGAAAAGAAACAACCCGAGCAGCTAGAACCTTTTATTAATACCTGCCCTAGTTAAGACATATCAGTGTATTGCCATGGTTTAAAATTGTCAATGAGTTATTTGTACATCATTTGACATATGATTGAAAGTGGCTTTTTTAACACTTATACCCAAAAAAAAAAATTGAACTATTTATTCCTAATTACTAATTGAGAACCTCATTGAGAATGGTTTTAATAAATAGTAAAACCACAAGTCCTCTCATTCTTTTAGTATATGGGACTTCTTTGACTCCAACTGCAAAATAGTTAGATTATGTGTTCTAAGTTTTTATGCTATATATAAAATTTGCATATATGGACACAACACAAATTATAGTGATTGCATTGGTTTTATTACTTTGTTAGTATACGTTCTTGACCTTGATGATTTTGTATGGCTGAATGGCTGAGATTACTGGCTAAATTTATCGTTGAGGTAGGACCTGCTTGTTTACCATTACTTTTATATGCCATCTTAAAATGATTCATATTATAGCAGTATTCAGTTTTATCCTAATCATTGAGCATTGTTGTTTCTTAGACTCCCCTCAGTCTCAATTATAAGCAAAAGTAACTAAACTTAAACTTATAAAGAAATTTAGTTAAATGAATTAATTTTTTTGATCTAAAAAAACATATGAATTCTCTAAATTGCCCTTCATTGGATCATGTTCCATCACAAAAAAAAAAGTCATTGAAAAATTAAACAAATAGTATTAATTTAGGAGAATTTTAAGAATGACAATTAAATAGAGTGAAAGTAGTTAAATTTGTTTTTAATTGCGGCGAATACTTTTTTTTTGGTTGTATTCGAGACCAAATAAAGTATACTTGTTACCAAAACACTTAACAATGTGTACATCATAAAAGTTAACAAAAAGGCTTTCAGATTTCTCAACAAAAAGTTGATATTCAAGTATTCCAAAATCAATGGGAATCCCTAAATCCTAATGCCAAAAGGCAGGGGAAATAGGAGATATATATAATATATTAAGAGTATGAATTTGAGATTTATCCAGCGTTAGGCATTCTTCTAAATTGATTGCATTCACTAACCCATTATAGTGGGGATGAGAAAGGTAAACACCAAAGTCCCAGTAAACTTACCTAAACCAGGAACCTTCCTGACAATCAACAATTTTAATCTAGCAAGCCATATATGTAAGATAGGGCTTCTTACCTGTCCTCTGTTCTTGTTATCTCTTTGGATCTCCAAATCCTTGAGCAACTTCAACCACACATCTTTTACTTTACCAGGTTGGAGTTCACTAAGCTTTAATTCAGCACATCCAATTAATTCCGACGACTGTAAGCCCTCATTATCATACACTTTAACATATAAGTGCTGAGTGGATGCATCTTCAACTATAAATTCGAAGTGTTCATTCCATATTGGATTCAAATCATTGTTCTGGAGGGGGAAAACGAATTAAAGTTACTTCTAGGAATGAGAACCAAAAAATGCTGAGAAAGTGAGAGTGAGAGACAGAGACAGCAAGGAAAAGGAAACTAACTTACAATTGTCTTGCTTTTTTTCGTTCTGTTGCGTAAAGGGCGTATGTACAATACAGCATATGGATCTGATTTTCCAATTATATCCTTGTTTGTTAAGTCCTTTGCTTGCACAAGCTTGACTTCTAATATTCCCACAGGCTTCAACTCCAGATCACTGAACAAGAAAATAAAGGAAGGTTTGAAATGACAAATCTGTGATTTAATCTGTCAATATCATCATAGTGAAAGTAATTCAGTGATAAACAACTTGTTAAAATATAGAGAAAAAATCTGATAAAATTACTATATTTCATGATTACTAAGTCTAAATTAGAATAAGAGTTTAGTACTAATACAGATAAGGGTTGGTGTGCTTTATATTTTTTATGACGAACTGCAATCTAGTATCTGTCATTATCCTAGGTTTCTATACCTAAAATGTAAACCTTCTAATTTCAACATAAGTCAAACAAATAAAATATCCTGCAATTGTTACAGCCACGTGAACTGCACTAAAAAATTTGACTGGTCACCGTAGTTTACTTTATGTAGTGGCTCGAGAAAACTCAAAAAATCTGAAATTTGTCCCATTCTATTTTGCCACAAACACGAGGCGTTTAGAACGGAACACGATGCGTTCAGAGAAACCGGTTTTGAAGGATTAATCTTCCTCAAATGCGAGGCGTTTGGATGCTGGGGCGACTAGTATTTATGGTTTTTTCTGATATTTTTTTTAGTAAGAGGTGATTTCTAGAGAGTGAGAGAGACAAAGAGATTACTTTTTAGGATTCATTATTCTAAGAGTTTGGTAATCTTTGGAGGTTATCTAAGGGTTGGAAAACACTTCTAAACACCTTGGAATTGAGTGATTCATGTATTGAGAGGAAGAGAGATTGTATCACAAATGGATAGAAATTAGGAAGTCTTCGCATGTACTTGTTGAGATAACTTCTTGTAACTCATTTGTAATCTCTTGTTGAGACTCTTGATTGGTAGTGGATAGGAAAGTTGCTCGGTATACAATTTTTGTGAGTTGCTTCTCATTCTTTATCTTGTTGTTATGATTTTGCTCTCACATTAGTTCATAGATTATTATTGTTTGAGACTATTTAGTATTGGTTGTCATTGTTCATATTCCTTGGTGTGTTTGATCTTATTCATCTTCTTTGTTCTTATTCCAATTTGGTTGTCATTGTTCTTTGTCTCACACATCATATTTCTTGGTGTGTTTGATCTTATTTATTTTCACAACATACTTTATAAAAGATAATTTGGTATAATTATAACCTGTATCACCGAACTAGTTCCAGAATCTCATTTATAATTCAATCATCACTTACATTATTACAGATTACATGCATATTTGGATCAACTTATTGTGAGGAAATAATAGGCTTATTTACATATTCCTAATAAAGCTTTCAAAAAGAATGAGTACCTTCCTAAAATTTAGCTAAAACTAATATGTACCATCTTCTAATGGTTTTACGATTCTAAATAGTACATATTCTACTAAAATGGAATAAAAGCTTCAAAATATACCAAAACACCAACAACTTAAAAGCTCAGTAATGACAAAAAGGGAACATACAATAGTAAAATTGAAGTGTGCTTGAGTACAATTTCTTTGTTAAAATTATAACTTATTACCTATAATCTCCAGGCAAGATGGGTACAATTTTTCTCACAGGCCAAGTAATAGAATCTTCAACGGCATCCCGAATTGCCCCCTGTTATTTACAGGCCAAATTAGTAACAAACATTAGGAAATCAGGCACCCAACTAATTCATCTAATAGAGGGGAGAGGGAGAGAGAGCGGGGGGAATACAACATTGGTTTCTATGAGTGGCCATTAAAAAAAAAATGGCAGATCAGAAAAATAAAATATGAATCAAGAAATCTATTTGAGTTGATAGAATTCATTCTTTAAACAACATTGGTTTCTATGAGTGGCCATTCAAAAAAAAATGGTGTATGTGAGTCGTTATTTTAAAAAAATAAAAATAACAGTGTACCCCTAAGCATAGTATCTACTCTGAAGATGCCAATAAATTTAAAGTTACAAGTTTCTGCATAACGATTTGAAGAGCTATCAAAGAACATCATGTGCTATATGATGATCAATATGACATATTCATCGTTGAGAGATGTTAAGGTACACAACAAAATAATCATGAAAAGCTGCAAAAGGACATCATTAACAATTAGTTGTAGTCCAAACCTCAATTGCATCGTATAATCCAGGTATTGCTGATATGTCACCACCAATGACTTTTAGTGTAAAATCCAGCATTTTCTGTAAGTTAAAATTTTCTGAAACGATTAAATAGATTACACATCTGTGCATCAGCTTCACAATAGAGTACTTTGGCATTGTACGACAAAAAAGATGATAATATCCTTTGAAATATTAATCTTAGTGCAGTAAAATAAATAGGGATGAATGAGTTTTGGGAATGTACCATACCTTTTGTCTTAGTGAATAGCAAACAGCTCCAAAGCCCGGAAATTCTTCAACCAGTGGCTTAAAAATCAACCTGAAGACGCCTGTAAATCCTATATTTTTAACCTGAAAAATGGAGAGCATAAGAATACAAAACAAACAATAACACTTTTTTAGGAATAACCCTTGGCAACTTAATATCTGTACTTGTAATCAAATAACTAACATCAAACCATCAGAAAGGTTGTAGTTAAAAACATCCTTATAATTCTTTATGCATGTTAGCAAACATGACAAAAGGAAGGAGGAGGAGAACATTTCCTTCAATCAGTTAAATTATTAAATACCATTCTATCCTCATGTAAATGGAGTGTCCTTAATGTATTATATAAAACCCAATAACTCTAAGATTGCATTCAGTTTGTTGGATTACATCTGGTTAAGTGCATTATAAGAGCTAGCGTCCAGACGGGCACTCGCGTGCCCGTCTGTCCGCTTTTTTAATACGCACGAATGAAAATATAAATGATACTTTTTGTTTAAATAAAAATTTTGAAAAATACAATATGTGAAAGTTAATAATAAGAAGTTATGTGGAAGTTAATAATATGAAATTATTAAGGAAATTACACAATAAAGTAAGGGTAAAAATGGTAGAAAAATAGGTCACACCAAAGCAAAGTATCCCCTTTATATATTGTATAGATTTCGGCACTAAAATAGTTTGTTTGAGTAAAAATAAAAAAGACATTATTTGTCATGGAGTCCTTAAAAATAGGGAAAGGGAGAAAAGTTTTGGTAACCTAAGTAACTCGACCATTTGAAGGTTGTTATAATTTTCAGCTTATAAAAAAAGGATGACCAGATACGCAATGGCAGTAAAAATGCTGAGAAAACTACCTGCACGGGAAGAGCAACACCAATGAGAGTTTTAATATCAAGTATAATACTTGGATTACCATCCCACTGCATTTCTAACTCCATTGTAACACCATCTCCGTCATCTTCAATTATAGATACCCCTAAAGGAGAAAATCTACATATTAAAAGCTTCAAGGAAGTGCATCGCATCGCTTATACAATAGATTAACCTTAGCAAACACGACAACCAAACCTCTTACACAATAGTAGCGACTAGACCTAATGTTTTGCACAATTGTAGCATAAGCAATTAACATTTAAGTGCTTGTGTAAAACTATTTCTATAACAAATGATAAAATCAAATCAAATTGTTTTCATAAGCTCTCCTAAACAGTCTCACAAATGTTTATCTCGGCGGAAAAACTCAAATAAATCAATCAAAACGAGCCCCTAATTATAGCCATTAAGCTTTTCAAAGACAGGATCATCCACATTTATTTACAAACCTATAACAAGTTCAACCATTCCCAATTTTCAACAAACATATACAAGTAACAAAAGAAACAAATTGAACAAACCTGTAAACTGTGGTGCAACAGTACCGAGGGTAAACTTAGAAAATTTGAGAGAAGCCAAAACCGTGGGTCTGTATTCTTCGAGAATCGGTTCCGCCGATGTCTTAATAAGCTCAGAAGCAGCCTAAAAAAACGGGAAACACAAAACAAAAATAATTTTTAAAAAAAAAATCAAATAAAAATAGCAATAATTGTAGACGAGAAGATAAAGTTGGTACCTCATTGACATAGGGCCAGATCTTGGTAAGATGCGAGTTAAGCCAAGTTAACTGAAAAATTGAAGACAAGAACAAGAGTGTGTTAGAGGATTCTCATTATTGATTATTGATTAATAGATACTAAATTGAAGAAGATTAGAGGACTAAACTTTTGTCTGGAAGAGAAAACGACCCAGGAAGGGTAGAATTGAGCAGGTAAGAGTTTTCTAGAATCGTCTACCGACATTCTGGCAAAAGCGGCGATGGTGGTTGCGAGCTGGGATCGTCGGGCGGAGCGGGAATTCTCGGCGCGGACGAAGGCGACAATGATGGCAAGGCCGACTAGGATTCCGAGCACGACGCCGACTACGAAACCCATTGTGCGAGAATCGCGTTTTCCCTTTCCCGGAGAAATCGAAGGATTGGGCGTTGAAAGTGAGTGTGAAAGTGAAGTACTGTAGTAAAAGTAGTTACTTACAAGAAGAGTGAAATGAGAAATGATCAGTAATAATGATGGAAGTTGAATCAGGAGAGAGAGAGAGAGAGAGAGAGAGAGAGAGAGAGAGAGAGAGAGAGAGAGAGAGAGAATTATGGAAACTTTTGCGGCTTTTTCAAGTGTTGGAACGAAGTCACGCTATCTTCTTCTGCTTCTTTTTTTTTCCGGGTTTATGCCGTCCCACTAATTAAATCGCTCAATCATTGTCATGATTTTTTTTTAAGTTAAGGTCGTTTTTATCAATAAGATCAATTAATTTTACTATTTAATCCTTTTGTTTGATTGTGATAAAATTGATCAAATTTATGATTTGTGAAATTTTCACCCAAATAACCTATTTTACCCCCTAATATCCAAACTATCCCATTTTTTCTCATATTTCTCCGTTTCTGAATTTTTTTTTTTATACAAGGGAGTGTCGTGGGGTATGGTTCCTCCCTTATAATTTGTAGGGGGGCGCCATCCAGGATGGAGGCACCCTATAAATTATAAAGGGGGCGTCATACCCTTTGGTTCCTCCCTTAAATCCGATTTTTAAAAATAATTTTAAATATATAATTAGTTTTAAAATATTTAAAAAATAATATATAATAATTAAAAAATATTTTAAAAATAAAAATTATATAATAATAATTTCTGAATAATTTTTATATATTTTACAAATAATAAATAATTAATAATTAATAATTTTATTAATAAATTCCAAATAATAAATAAAAATCAAATTGTATACAATAAATTTAATATTAAACAATAATTACAATTTACAATAATTATTTAATCACAAATTGGTACATATGAAAGATATTATACACTAGTTTCTACGCCGTGGTCGGTTTAAATGTCTGCTCGTACCGCATCCCCGATCACGTACGTTTCTTTGTGGTCTTTGTTGTGGAGTCGGGTCCATTGTATCGTCTTCAAGCAATTGCATCACTTCGGCCCATGAAGACGGGTCCATATCCGTAAAGTCATCCAAATCAAAAGGGTTGCCCATGTCTTCATAATTATTTTGGGGTGGTTGGCTGGATGAGGCAATGTCAGGACGATAGCCTGCCTGATCGTAGGGTGGGTATGGGTTGATTGAGTGTTTGAAACTGTGTGTTTATTTGGTTTGTAGTATCCATGGAATATGTGTGGTATTGTGTGGATTGTGAATGAGTTTGTGTGAATGGAGTGAATTGGTTAGGGGTATGTTCATATTGTTGTGATTGTGTGAGTGGGGGTTGAAATTAGGGTTGGGATGGCAGTTGGAAATGGGGTTGGGATGGTGGTTGGAAATGGGGTTGGGTTGATGGTTGAAAATGGGGTTGGGTTGATGGTTGGCAATGAGGTTGGGTTGGCGGTTGGAAATGGTATTGGGTTGATGGTTGGCAATGAGGTTGGGTTGCCGGTTGGAAATGGGGTTGTGTTGGCGGTTGGAAATAGGGTTGGGTTAGTTGTTGGGGCCTTGATGATGAATCTTGTTGGTGTGGGTCAACAAGATACCTTGGATGTGAAATGAAACCAATTGATATAGACCTATATCAAGTCATGTATTGTATTGATTGTTTCATCTCGTATGGAAACACAGTGTCGGACAAAACATAGTTGTTGCGATGCCTCCATTCACGACACTCATGTTTTGCATACTTGGTCCACGGATTATATTCCCATTGGTCGGAGACTTTACCGGTGTGATATTTGTCGGGGATGCACTTTGGCGAACATGAAATATCTTGAAGCATTCAAATTGAAGTTTCACACGATCACTGTTGTGTATTTCCACGGTGGTGAAGTTGATAATCGGCACCTTTGCACTCCACACCGCAGAGTCTTGTCGTTCAACTTCATGAAAGGCTTCTAGACCAAGATACGGCCGCCAAATGAACTGTAGGAGGAAAAAAATAATATTAAGTATTTTCTAATAATATTCAAGTAGAGTATAACATAAATAGTTAGGTTTGTGAGTGTACATCATCTTGTGGTTGCACGGTTCAACTATACCCCATCGTATAGGAAAGCTTGGATAGGTAGAATAAAAGCGGTGGAACATGTATATGGGAATTGGGAGCATTCTTACCATCAACTTCCACAGTATCTACTAGCACTTCAAAAATATGTTCCTGGTACGGTTGTAATATTGGAGTCACTACCAGCATACACTCCTGAAGGAACATGTGTTGATGGAAGTAGGATATTTTATCGTCTCTTTTGGGCATTTCAACCATGTATCAAAGGTTTTGCGTTCTGCAAACCAGTTATACAAGTCGATGGAACATGGTTGTATGGAAAATACAAAGGAACATTGTTGATGGCGGTTGCACAAGACGGAAATAATAATATTTCTGATTGCCTTTGCCCTGGTCGAGGGTGAGACAGGCGAAGCTTGGAGTTTCTTCCTCAGAAATCTCAGAACATATGTCGCACCTCAACCCAACTTATGTCTGATTTCTGACAGACATGCTTCTATTATGAGCGCCTACAACAATCCTGATAATGGTTGGCACAATCCTCTTTCTGTCCATGTCTTTTGCATAAGACACATTGCTCAGAATTTTATGCGGGAAATTAAAGACAGAAATCTCCGTAAAAAAAGTCGTGAACGCTAGGTATGCCTTAAACCAACCATCGTTCATGTATTACCAAGAAGAAATAAGGTTGTCAAGCGCGGAAGCATTAAGGTGGGTGGATAACATTCCAGTCGAGAAATGGACAAGGTCATTTGATGGAGGGTGCAGATGGGGTCACATGACCACAAATCTTGTAGAATCCCTAAACGGCATATTTAAGGGAACTAGGAATCTCCCCATCACTGCGTTGGTAAGGGCAATGTATTACAGATTGAGGTCACTTTTTGCGGCAAGAGGCAAAAAATGGAGCGTTGTACTGCAATCAGGGCAAATATTCAGCGAATCAAGCATGAAGTATATGAGGGATGAAACTTCTAAGGCGGCCTCACATCGAGTTAGACCATTTGATCGTCACGATTACAGCTTCATTGTTGATGAGACAATGGATCACAACGACGGTCGGCCAATGGGACACTACAGGGTGGAACTTCATAAAAATTGGTGCGACTGCGGAAAGTTTCAAACCTTCCGCATGCCTTGTTCACATGTCATTGCCGCATGTTCAACTGCTCGTCAGGATCCATTCTTGCAGCTATCAGAAGTTTACAAGGTCGTGAACTTATTCGGTATCTACAGTAACAGTTTTCCAGTGGTAGCTAGTGAGGACTATTGGCCAACCTATCATGGAGACACAATCTACCACAACGAAAATATGAGAAGAAACAAAAAGGGTCGCCCCAAAAGCACGCGAATTACAACTGAAATGGATACAACTGAGAAAATGGAAAGATTGTGCGGAATATGTCGTCTTCCCGGGCACACGAGGAAAAATTGTCCAAATGTTGGAACAAGTTCTAGGTAGATTTAATTTGGTCATTAAAAATTGTGTAACAGTGAAATTTAATATTTATATCAACTTTTCTAAGTCGGAGGCTTCGTCCTCGAAAAAATTACATGCCCATATCTTCTAAGGTACATGACTCACTCTTCTAAATTTGGATGAAACAATGTTAACAACAAGTCCAACTATTTATTTAAAAAAAATTGGAATAAAATAATATTATATTTTAATTATAGTGTATTTAAAAAATAAATTTCGTTAAAGGGAGCTTCATAGGGGATGGCGCCCCCCTTTAAGTCATTTAAGGGAGGAGGCAAAGGGTATGGCACCCCCTTTATAATTTATAGGGTGCCTCCATCCTAGATGGCGCCCACCTACAAATTATAAGGGAGGAGCCATACCCCACGGCGCCCCCTTGTATTAAAAAAAAAACGTAAACATGGATAGCTATGGTTATTTGGGTATTAGGGGGATATAATATGGTTATTTGGGTGAAAATTTCAAGATTTGTTATAACTTACAAATAAAATAATAAAATAAAAAGGGATAATTCACTAACAATCTAAACTAATTTTATATTTTAAAGGATGGATCTTTAAAATAAAATATAAAACAGGATTTTTTTTATATTTTTAAATATTGTTTTTATAGATGGATATTATTGAAAACTAAAATATAATTTTAAAGGATGGATCTTAAGAAAAAATTATAATTTTTTTCAACAAAAATACACAATACTATACAAATCATTTTAAAAAATGAAATTCTTTAGATATTTTGAGTTACAATTTTCTTCATTTGAAAATTTTAGATATTTTTGAAGATATATATTTGAGAAATATATAAAAAAAAATAACAATGATAGAATTTATTATTTATTTAATTTATTTTACATATATGTTTTTATAATAGAAAGATCTATTTCTTTTGAGAAATGGAGAGATGTTGTGTGCATCTTTTAACTTTTTAAAAAACAATTTCTATAACACGGTTTATATTTGTTCAAAAATTTATAATTTAAAAAAATAATAATTGAAAAATTATTTTAAATAATCAGATATTTTCTTTGTTTCAAAATGATTGTCGTTTAATATATTTGCACACAAATTAAATAATGTAATAATATTGTTGTAGGACAATGTACTTTTACTAAGTTAACCTTATAAATATGTTGGAAGTAATGTACAAAGTAATTATTAAAAAACACAATTTAAAAAATAACAATCATTTTCACTTTGAAAAGTGTGAATCACATTTATTTTGAAATAAATTTTATTTTAAAACGGAGGAAGTATATAACAATTAATGAAATATACTATCAAATATCCAACAATGTCTTCATGTGTTTCAACTAATTACACACACACAAAAAAAAAACGGTAAATGACAAATGTCCAAAATATTCGACTTTCTACTTCAATTAGGTAGTGACACATGGTAACCAATTTACAACAACTCATTTCAACTTTACTTTTCCCTCCTTCTTTTGA